TTTCATTATAAAGAGATAATTTCAATTTTACTATGTTTTACTATGCTTTTTTTGGATTTCCAGTAATTTATTGTAGGTGTGTGTATATACAATTAAAAAATTCTAAAAAATAATATAAATAGATTTGAATAAAAATTAAAAATAAATTTATTTATAAGTATTTTATATATTTTAAATTATTTTTATTTAATCTTACTTAATTTAATAAAAATTAATAAATTCAAATATTAGATTATTTTTAATATTTAATTTGGAAAAACCAATTATTTTTGTGTATTTGATTTTGATTTAATAATAAATATTTCAAATTATTTTTATATTTAATTTAACAAAAAATAAAATATTATTAATACTTAATTTAGAATAAATTAATATTTTAAATTATTTTTTATATTTAATTTGATAAATGAAAATAAAAAAAAAATGTATTTAGTATTTTAATATATGAAATTAATAAAACTAAAATAATTAAATATTTTAAACTTTTTTTATTTAGTTTAATAAAAATTTTAATATTAATTTTTAATTAGCTTTTATTAAATTTAAATTAAATTAAATTTTTCAAAATAATATTTTAATCTGAAAAAATCTAAATAAATATAATACTAATTTTAACTAATATTTATTAGGTTAATTTTAGATTTTTTCTAAATTAAATATTAGTATTTTGAAATATTTAAATCTAATTTAAAAATTAATATTAATATTTTTATTCGATTAAATTTTTTGTATTCTGAAAATTTTCTAAAAATTTTCGAAAAAATATTTTTGTTTTTTTTTTATAAAAAAGTTTTAATTAGTTATATAATGACAATAAAAAATATAATTTATTAATAAAATAGAAAATTTTTAATTTTACTAATTAATATTTTCATTTTTATAAAAAAATACAAATAATTATATTTCCAAGATTTTTTAAATTTAATCTTAAATGTTTTTCTAATTATAAAGCTAATTAATTAAGTAAATATTTTTAAATTAAATTTTCAAAAATATATATTAAATTATAAATTATTATTTGTATTTTATATAAAATAAAAATATTAATTAATAAAATTAAAAACTTTTATATAAAAAATTTAATTTTATAGTTAAATTTTATTATAGTAAAAATATTAATAAAAATTTTCAAAAATTCATTATATTAATAAATTTATTTTATTAAAATAATTTATATACAAATAAATTTTTCTAAATAAATTTTTCTTGAAATTATAATAAAATATATATTAAAAAATATATATATTTATAAAACATAAAATATATATAATTCATACTATTTATAATCACTAAATAATTTCTAATTATATTTACTTATTTAAATTTAATAATATAATAAAATAATTTTTTCTTTTTAAAATTATAATTTAGTTTTTTAAATTATATTATAGTTTATAAAGTAATTAAAATTTTTAAATCAATTACTTTTATTATTAATTAATTATTAATTATTAATTATTAATTATTAATTATTAATTATTAATTATTAATTTTTAAATATTGATCAACTAGCTTTTAACAAATTAGCAATTGCTAAAGTTATATTATTATATGCTAATATAATTATAAATTCTTAAAGTATAATGAATTTATTATTTTCAAAATAATTATTTAATCAATATTAATCAAAACTTTTTGTAATTACTTTTTTAATAATAATAACTTAGTATTTTTTAATATATTATTAAGTATTTATTTTTGTACTTATATTTTTCATTTTTGATTTTTTTTAAATTTTTGATATATAACTTCTTTTTTTTGTATTCTAATTTAATCTCTCTATTTACAATTTCTTTTTTTAAAATTTTTAATATATATTTCTTTTTGTATTCTATTTAAATATTTTTAATTAGTTAATTAATTATTATATAAATATATTTAACTTTAGCTTTAGCAAATTTTGAAATAGAACACAAAAAAATTTATATTTCTCTTGTATTAAAAGTAATTTATTATTTATTATCTATAATACTTATATTTGAATTCAAGAATTGAAATTAATTTGACTTTATCTATTATTTATAATATTTATACTTGAATTAAATAATTAAATTTTATTTATTATCTGCAATATTTATACTTGAATTAAATAATTAAACTTTATTTATTACTTATAATATTTATATATTTGAACTAAATAATTAAATTTTACTCATTATTCACAATATCTACATGCTTAAATTTAATAATTGAAGTTTATCTGGCTTTATTTATCATTCAGCAATATCTATACTTGACTCAATAATTAAAGTTTGTTTAATTTATCATCTAATATTAATTATACTTAATTTAATAACTGAATTTATTGATTATCACTTATTAACTTTTATTTTAATATTTTCTTGTACAAGTAATTTGATTTTTTTGATAAGAGAGTTTTTGGTAACAATACTTAAAAAAGTTTAAAATATTTAATTATTTTTCTATATATTATATATTATTAATATATTAGTTTTTATTATTTTAGACTTTTTAATTTTGTCAATAGCATATCATTATTTGATAATTAATAATTATATAATATATTATTTATACAATTCAAAAAATATAAAAACAAAAAAGTTTTAATTTCTTATCAAAGCTTTTGGTTTCTTTATTTTTTTGAAGAGTTAGATAAATTAGATAATAATTAAACTTTGTAATATTTGTTTTGTATTAAACAAAAGTTGATAAAATATCATAAATATATCTTTTTTTGCTATGAGTAAAACTTTTAGTAAGTTTGTATATCTTCTTTTCAACTTGCATATATTGTATATTAAAAATTATATTAACCAATAAAGTTAAAGCATGTAATTAAACTCACATACACCAACCAATAAAATTTAATTATGTAAATAAATGCATATAAAGATTATTATCTGAAATTTTGAACTGATTTATGTTTTTGATGACTATAAACAGTTTGCACTATAGTGCTTTTATAAGCTGAAATCTAGTTATACTATATATTTAAAGAAAGTATATAATGTACTTATAAAGAGATTTATCTGTATATTATTTTTGAATTTAGATTTACTATATTGAGATTTAATTAGTTTTTCATTATATTGAGAGTTTACTATATCAAAAGTTAACTATATTAATAATTTTAATGCTATTACATTTTTTTTGCTTGTTTCTATATATAATATTTCTTATAAGTTAGCTTGTATGCAAACTTTTTTATGTAGAAATTTTTATTATTTAATATAATTAAAAATAATATCTTAACTAAATAAGTGAGCGCTCGTTATAGTAACACTCTTTAAAATAACATCTCGTTATACTAACACAAAATCGCTTCCCCGATCTCATTACTGTAATAAGCATTTATGGTATTTATTTTTTCGATAGAGTAACATCTTGATATAATAACACCAAATTTTTCCCCCAGCACGTTATTGTATCGAGCGCCCACTGTATAACGATAATTTGTAACACAATTTGGAATTTTTTATAAATGAACAGTGATATATATATATTCATTTAAATATACTATTCATTTATAAAAATATTTCAGATTGTAATAACCAATTAAAAAATTATAATATAATTATAGTAGCTAATCAAAAAGTTGTAACTAGTTACAGCTTCCATAATCAAATATTAAATAATATATTAACACTCTTTGTATTGGCTTGTTTGAGCTCACAAAAATTATTATTTGTATAAATAATTAAGGTAAAAAAATAAATTTGATATATAATAATATTTTTGAAAAATTATTTAGCAAATTTACAATAAACTACAAATTTAATACTTTATATATAATTTGAAATTTGACACTCTAAAATCATGTTCATATATAATGTGACTAAATGAAATAAATCAATATAAATTTTAGTATTTGAATTTATTTCTAAATATACTTTATCATCAATTATCTAATTTATTTTTTGGTTTTTTCTTGATGCGATATTGAAAAATTTTAATGTTATTATACATGTATTTGTTTCGAGTACATGTATAGCTGTCACCCATTCGATAATCACCATTTGAACTGTTATCAATAGTTGTTTGATGATAATCAAGTGACTACGTATCGAGAGATATCACTATAGAATGGGTGTTACTGTTAATTTTTATTCTTGTTATGGTAGAAAAATTTTCTGTCTACCGATACTACAAAAATTTATAATTAACGCAATTTCGGTTTAACGTTAACGAGTCACCGTATTGCAGGACAAGTTTAAGCAACATCCACTTTTAAAAATTCAGCTTTGATATCGATATCTGCAGCACACTCACACTTTGAGAAATAAGTAAAACCATTGGTTCCCTGCACTGTCATTGCCTTTTTGATAATGTCAACCACAATTTTAACTTTTTTGACAGGGTAACACTACATATAGTGGCGTTTGCCCAAATAATGGATATAAAAAATCAAAAAGTGTTTTATAATTTTGTAGTCATTTTCAGGAACTAGCAACCGTTTTTTTCTGGGTCGTTATACACAAAAAAAAAACCAAAGCAAGAGAGACTAAAAAGGGCATTTACTTATAAAGAAATAAATAAAATATGCTGTACATAACGATAAGAAACCCTAAATTATTTGCTCCGCCTCAATAAATATCAGGCGAAATTCAACTTTACTTTTTCATAATAAAAATAAACTTTCAAGTTACTTTAATGATAAAAATAAAAATAATAAATTTCTATTTTTTTTAAGTAATCAAAGAAAGATCAATTTTCATTTTCTTTTATACATTTTTCAAATAAAATAAATACAAAGCCGGCCAGCAAACATAATACATATAGAAAAAAATAACATTACGACCACCATCTCACACCACCACCATTATCTCTCTGCCATCGTCATTATCATACTGACTTAACCTCATCATCAGATCCATCCATGTATGGGTCGAACAAGAACTTCGTCAACTTTCAATTTGAAACTGCCGCTCAAATCAAACTGATATTTTACTCCAATTGCGCCAGACCACCAAACTCCTCGATCAGCTGACATTTTCCAAAACTCGAAATTTGCGCACAAGTTCTTCCAGTTCGATTCGTTATTTTCATCGTCATCTTGATCTTCGGTAGCAGCGTTATTCATAATAACATTTAAAAGATTGATGTTATTATTGGTATTGTTATTGATGTTGATGTTGATGTTATTGTTGGCGTTATGATTTTGATTTTGATTTTGATTATGATTATGATTATGATTATGATTGTGATTGTGATTGTGATTATGATTATTGTTGATACGACCACGTTGACGATTATTATTCAATAGTAATAAATTATTTGTAGCCATGGTCGTCGTTCTCAATCCGGGGAAAACAAATAAATCACTGTACTCCTGGTCGTCGGGATTTTCTAATTGCGGTGGTCTCAATTTATATTTCAAATCGAAGTGAATTGTGGCCAAGCCTAGTGCATTAATTTCCAAATTCTCGACAACTAATGGGAATGAAAATGCGGCGTAGGGTACGTTGCATGGAATGGGAAAAGGTAGAGTTGTGCTAGATAATAAATATTGATGTGCATCGTATGGCCAAACTCCTTTCTTTACGATACGAATAAGAAATAAATTGTTACTAGCGAATGCACATTTAGATACTGGATATGGACGTGTCTCGAATACTCACTCTGGTAACAGAAACATCAAGCGAAAATATAACATTCTCACGTAAAATATCAGCAGCAGCATTCTCGACTCCTTCTTTTATACTTCTTGATAGGCCTCGATTACACCAGTATTTTGGAAGTTTTCTAATAAATTAATCCATAAGTAAATTTTAATGCAACAATCTTTCGTTAAGAAATTCCAAACCTCGGTTCATCAATAACATATTTGAAAATCTCTGTCCATATATCTGTAGGAATTATATTCACTGCTTTGTTGTTCATATTTAGAATATAACTACGTAGTAATTTATTAATACTATATTATACTATTTATTTTGGAGTAGTAGTAATAGCTATAGTAATATTTATTAATATCTAATATCGATATGGAAAGAGGTTAAAAAAAAATAATATTATTTTTAATAAAAAAAGCAAATTGAGTGGAACCAGTAACCAGTAGCATACCTATCTCTCAGTAAAGGAATAAGATGATGATCGAATATGTACGTACTTATCATGTTTGCAGTACATGTACAATGTGTATCATCTATCTGTTATATAATTGTTTATGATGACGTATTACTTTCATTCATGTATCAACTAACGCTAAAGTTAACGTTAAACTGTTTATTTTGTTATCGTTATCGATATCATTGTTGTTACACAAACAAATTCACGATTTTATTTCAACATTCCATTGGGTTATAATATTACTATCGCTATTGAAAAATAAAAAAGAAAGCATACAAGACAAAGAAAGAGGAATTATAACTATCTAATTTAATATCTAATGAATTTCAATAGCAGTAATCATGCCAGATTTTCCACTGAGTGGAAGCTTTAAAGCAAATGAAATTAACGATAGTAAATTTTACTGAAATAATGGAACAAGAACAAAATCACACAATTGAATTCGAACCTTGACTTCAAGCACTCCATTATTAATATGAGCTTGGACTTTATTCTTGTCAATATCGGCAGGCAAATTAATTGAGCGCTTCAATATTATGTTTTGATGCTATTATTATCATATCGATATTCGTTGATTATATAATAACATATTTTGAAGAAGCAAAAAAAACTCACGTAAAAGTTTCCGTGACATCGTTCAGTAATTACTCCGTTTCCGATCTTGCGTTTTCCTTCTTTATGTGTTTCACCACTTTTGGAAAATATAGATCTGTTGATTTAAACGGGTAGTATTTTTTTGCATGTAGTATATTTTTAATTTTATTACCTGATTACAAGTCGCCTGTCGCCGACAATCTCGACTAATGATAACAAAATATTAACCATGAATCACGCAATAAAGAAACCAGTAAATATTATTTACCATTCACATTTTCTTTAGGAACTCCAGGTAATTCAGCTAGAAATAAATAATATGATCGGTAGTATCCTTCCCTCCATGATGACATTCGGTAACATGATATATTGCAACAAAAATATATGTATTTTACCGTGTACAATGAATTCGTCCTTACGTTGATTTACTATTTGAATAAAGCAAAATATCGTCTCATGAATTTACACAAAAAAACCATATATTTCGATAATAATACCGTACCGTCAATAATAGGAGAGAATGTATTAAAAGGTTCAAACAAATTCAATTGATTATCAGCCTTGCCACCATAACGATGATGCTTAAACATATCAATGTAGTGACGAAATGTATGTTCTATATCATGGTAGAGGTCTTTTAAGGTGTGTTCTACACGTTGAATGTTTCCTTCGTCGTCGTGGTGCTTGTAAATGCTAGACATTTTTGCTGTTGTCTATTATGTGTTATGTGTGTGAATGAAATCAATGTTTCTTTTTATATACTTGTTTATTAAAACGTAATTACTTTTACGTCATTTTCAATCAGACTTATGTTATTAAGAGTATGATATATGCGTGGGAGAATAACGTCGAATCATTTTAACAATTTATCCTTTCATCTTTTATGATGATTAATTAAAAACCAATTTATAGCTGGTCTAAGGATGTGACAGACAAAGCAACAACCAATCATTAAATTACCATCCTTGGGAAAGTGAAATTGAGTGATTATATTTTAATTTTAAGTTGAGGAGTGACTATAAAGAGATGTAATCATAAATGGGTGTGGACCTGTTATATATACGATTGCATCAAGAAATAATGACGTATTAAAAGCGTTAGTAAGAAAGTAGTCCCATGAAAGCACTAGCCCATTAGACACTCTTCGCGTTGGTGAGTTGGTTGTGGCAGCAGTTTTAAGCAAATTCTTGGAATTGAAGAGCTGTCCGGAAGAGCTCTTGTTTAGTGGGAAGCTTTGGTGGTGATACAAACTTTGCGAGTCCTAATGGAAAACAAATACTGCGAAACTCTTCTGTTAACTCAAGGAAGGCGAACACAGAAATTTCCTCTTGCCGAAAAATCTTGATATCCAAGTCTTTTTGTCTCCGCATCAAAAAGTCTGGTTCAATTTCGAATTTATGATTGAACTCATCAAACAGTCTGGTTCGAGTTCAGTTCATTATTGAACCCAACTCAAAAACTCGATCCAAAGTCTGGTTCGGTCTGGTTTATTATTAAGTGGATTCAAAGCATAACCATATCAACGTTTTAAAATTTATTTTAAGAAAAATCGGACAATTAAAACACGGCGAAAAATTGATTTTATTTTCGAAAGAACAATCCACGAGTCGATTTTGGTATTATAAGCAAAAAACATTGCATGGAAGGAAACACTCGGATTCAAAGCCTGCCAAAAGGCAATAAGCGTTCATATTCTTGGTATCTTCGAAAAAAATACGTTTACACTCTATTACGGCTAAATAATTTATTTTTCTCGTCTGTCTCAAAGACACTCAACCCATATAACCAATCTATATTTCCCATACCCCTGTTGGAGAGAATCTATTGCGAAATGGATTGTTTGACGAGTTAATTCATTGAGTTTTGTTGCAGAGCAATTGCACTTTTGTGCCTGGATCGATTGTTCATTATATGCGTTTCTTTTATGTACTGTATTATTTGTCGATTCTGCAGTCAATCTCGCAGTATGTTAGCGATCGATATTGTGGAAATAGTGTTCGGTAACACCCAATATCAGTTTATTAATTTCAGGAAGAATAACGGTCACGGCAAAGACCAAAAAGAGAACAAATCTGAAGTGATCAATGGTGTTTATGTTGTGTAATTTTTGTTTTCGTAGGTGGTCTTTGCGGGTATAACATACTTGAAATTTGTGTGGGCAAAGAAGCAAGAATTTTATTGCGGAGTAATTTGCTTAGCAACGGCGAGAATTGTTTATGTACGCATGCGATTTATTTTGCGTTAAATTATGACACGAAATAAAAGAAGAACAACAATCCCCAACCTCTGCTTGCTTTTATACTTTTTGAGGTGCTGTGCCCTCTACTCAACCAAAGATCGAGAGGGAAGATTGACATGAGTGCACGTGTATTGTCATCATTACATTCGAATTATTGTTACTTCACATTTCCTTTTCCACTCTTATATCAATTACTTCTAAAATGTGATGCTCATTTCTAGAAGGTTGATGTCGGTTGATACGATGTTCTTTATTGGTTGTTCCGCAAGAATGCAAAAATATATACAAATGGGCACTCTCAGCCGCTATACATAGATGGGCCTTAATAAATTATTGTCAAAATTGATTTCAAAGAATCTCACCCGTGATCTATCATGTGAGCAAGGCCAAATCTGGTGATATCAAAACCATGGCAGAATTTCTTTTTGGTGTCCTATCAAGTAAGATCTTTTCAATGTGACCAACAAGCTAGTTTCTGTTTTCTGCTATATCTAGCAGAGCATAGGGATGATGCTAAAATTTTTGCACGTCCTAAATTTGTCCAGGTTTTGTCGATCTCGACACAGCAACCAATAAGGATGCGCAAATTTTCGACACAGCAACCAATAAATAATAAAAAAAATGTTGGGGAGGCAATTCTATATATCATCTTGATCCGATCCTTATCCTAAAATCAACCTTTAAAATCAGTATAATTTTCCGGGATCGACAAACCCTGCACAGATTCAGGACGTGCAAAATCTTTTCATCATTACATCATACTCAGGTTAGTTATTTGATTTCAACCAGTAAAATTTTTTTTCGCTATTTAATCATGATAAATCGTAAATTGTGGCTGAGGCTGTTACCCTCTATTTATAGGCACTCCACATTCACTCAAATAACCACACATATCATGCATAGACTTTTTTTCCAACAACTGAAGCGTTCGACTCAACTCTCACCTTCTCTTTCCCGCCCTATAAATATGAAGTACTCGACTCGACCTCAAATGAACAGCCCCAACAACAACCCTCTCAACCAATCGATCAAAAGTTTGACCAGCTGAGAAATGATATCTTAAATGAGATCAAAGGTACGCGAGGAACATTGATATTGAAGTTCTATATGGTTTTACTTATATCATGGGTTTTATGTTGCGGGTGCTTTTGGCACTGCTGCCGTTGTTGGAATTATTGGATACTCTATATTCTCACGTTTGTTCCTCTTTTGCTTTAGCTCGCTCCTCTATTACTAACATCTTTCCATTTCGATCGCTAGGAAAGAGGTGCAAGGCAGGTAAATTTTCTTTGCTCGTAAAATCAAACCTATTGACGCTGTTTTTTTCTGAACAGAAGAATATAAACGAAACATACAACGCTACTTTAAGTGGTCCATTACCTCCCTTATCTCCTCTCCAACGTCACCAACTCCGCTCCAAATAGGGAAGATTAAACAGTCAATTATATAGTTCATATAAAGAATTACAAATTTGTTTACGTATTTCTGCGCAATGTATTGTGCAAATCATCATCGTGACATGAAAATTTACATGAATTAATAAAAAATGTGGGATCATGATGAAAAACGGATTATGGTGAAAATTTTGGCCAAAATTGTGAAGATCATGGGATCATTTGGCCAGAATTATCGACAATTTCTTATAATAAAGGAGCAATATTTTGAAAATAATGATAAATGCATAAAATATACACTGTGAATAAGCAACTCCTACGTCATCAATTTGAGATCAGTTTTTTGGGGGTTGCTTATTCATAGAGATGTTAATCGGTCTTTTAGGATCGGGTCCCATCCGATCAATCAAGGACAGTTCGAATTCGATCCTTAAATCATGTGATTTTATCATATATATATATATATATAGGACTGCGATCGCGTCGTTAATTTGGTAATACCGATCACTATGAATGTGACGAAGTATATACGTATATAGTTACATTTCTGCTGAAGATTAGAATTAGATGAATAAATATATAATAATTTTTTTATTTTAGTATAAAAAAGGAGTTGCTTATTCAACTTTTTAAGATTTTTGAACCTAAAGAGAGGGTTGCTTATTTGCTTATTCATGGGACTTTACAGTAACTTAAATTAATTTTGCAATAATGTTTATATTGCTAAATACTATGTAAATTTATGAGTATAATTGTTATTTATAGTTTATTATAATAGATATTGCAAATTTTCACCATAATCCGTTTCCCCACAAAAAATAGTTTTTACGACTCCGAAAAAACTATTGCCAATAAGAGTTTATTAACTCTGACGTGATAGTAATGCTAAAAGTAACTGATATTGATCCAAATTTGAATGATATTTATGAAACAACAAAAAATACATGTAATGAAACGGATACAGAATCACAATACTCTATACTATCTTTACCACCACGTAGTATCTACGAATTCAACTAATCAAAGTACAACTTCAACTATTTCAACGAAAATCAACATGCAAAACCAAAGACCAGTTATGTCATCGCTTGCTGTCGTTGTGCTCGAGAATCGAAAATCGATTAATCGAATTTATTTAAAACGATTAATCGAATTATTAATCGACTTCTGGGTTGAGAATCGATTCCTATTCCTATTCTGAAGTAGGTACGTCGTAATTAGGTGGAGTTTTGGTTACTGTTGCAATAAAGTGGTGTTAACTAGGCTTTGTTTGACGGGTTTTCTTTTGTTGGCAGGTGCCTTCGGAATGGAGCAATTCCAAACCGGATATGCCGAGTGTAATATTCCAAGTCTTCATGGAATAAGGATGTGTTTTTTATTGGTAAATTTTTTGGTGTTATTTTCAATTTCGGTTAATTATTGCTAACCTCATTCTTTGGTACCTCGTTCTGATACTGAAAATAAATTCGAAACTATACAGTTAGGTATACTCCCATATTTTTCGTATCAGTGATTGAGTACCGTATATAGTATCCCCCAAAAATAATACACCCCCCCCCCTTCATGATTCAAACACGACCCGGAAACTTTTCATTATCTAAAGTTATTCAAGCTTGAATAGTAGCTGGGTCCTTTTTAAAGCGGAAATGATTAGTACCCGGATATACATACATTTAAAAAATAATGTGCTACATTAGCAAACCCGTGACCCATCGTCAAACTGATGTATTAACATTAAACTAATAACGATAAATATTACCGTTATCAAAATTTGGTTCCAAATATTAGCATAATTCCTCCTCTGTGGCATTTTTGTTTGTAAATTTGAAAATTACGCATTTAAAGATGTTATGCATTTAAAATCATCTGTACATTATTGTATCTGTTTTGGAATACTCTTTATAATATATAAAAATATTCAATCCAAGTGACTCTTTAGAAAATTTAAAACTTAACCTTAAGGCCATTAATTTAGTAACTAAAGTTTTTAAGAAATTGTTATCTGATTTGGAACACTCTTTATAATATATAAAAATATTCAAAATCCATTACACAATGCAAGTGACTC